TTTTTACTATTTTAGATGAATACGGTAATGTTGTAATCGATGCTTGAAGAAATAAAAACAGTAGAAAATTAAAAAAAAAAAAACGATTACTAATACTGGTGAAAACAAAACTCATTGTACAATATTCATGGGAATTAAATCCAACGTAAGACACTTAAAAATATATGGTAACCAAGTATTAGTAAGAATACCAGAGGTAAAAGGAAATGACAAATGGGCCGATAAATGAAAAATAGGAGTGGCAATGGGTTATAATGAAAATAGCTGTAGAGTTTTGTTAAATAATATAGCTAGAAATAATAGACATGTACAAGTAATCAAAAATAATATTTAATTAATTTTCTTAAGCAGTTTCAATCTCTCTTTAAAGTCCATACAACATTCTCTATTGTTTGGTAAGTCGTCTGTCTTTCTCGCTCTCCTGTGACAACATAAACTTTTGTAGTTTTTACCTGACTTATTCATTAATTTCTTATCTCATAAAGACCCTCAAGATGCTCAATAAAATTAAATACTATTACTAGAAAATTTTTTATCATTGATAAAATTTTTATGTAAAATTCATTGTTAATAAGTGAGGTAAATGCAATAGAAGTGCTTAAAAAGACGATAGTCCATAAGCCTACACGTAAAAATTAGATATATACGAATATTAATTACTCGGCTCCTAGGAACCCTCGTGCCATCAAATTTCGACAGTAACTCGACAGAACTCTCTCAAAAGATACAAAGAGAGTCCGAAAGCAAAAGAAGCTGTGTGAATGGGTTTAGTAATTCTGTAACGCACATAAATTTTAATGAGTCAAAAAAATGTCAAAAAAGCTGTGGATAGAAGAATGAAATTTCTAAAGAAAAAGAAAACTTAGATAGTTGTAAGAATCATTTGAAATAATTTATGACAAACCAACAAGTATGTGTAAAGAAAACTCAGCAGCAGCCGCTATGGCATAATTTTCTTCTTGACGAAACATTCATTATGTAAATGAAAATTATGCAAAAAAAATGATGAAATTCAAATTTATTACAAAAAAAATTTGGCTAACATAATAAGCAGCGATAACGTTCAACTTTCTAAAGAAAGAGTGAAACTCGTGGATCCGTTCTTTAAATAAATTTAATTTTTGTTCGTCAGGAATCAGCCGTCGGCCCGAAGGCGTTATTTGGTCTTTCGTACAGTATACTTTCCTATGAAATTGTTGACTCGGCGTTGTAGTATTATTTCATCGAGTAATATGTATATAGTAATATTGGTGTGTCATGCATTGAACTGACCTTAATCTACTGTATGGATTTCTGTCTATTTAATGCAGTAGTTGCGTATATTAATTCATTGTTTTATCTCACGTCCTTGTAAAGGTCTCTATCATTTTTTAGTCAGTCTATTTTTGTTATGTATTCAATTTATTCATTAATGCTGAAATTTTTTTTCTGCCAGTTAAAATTTTGAGTCCTGAAATATTACTATCAAGAGAATAAGTTTAATCATTAACCACATTATGTCTTATTTGACGATTTAATAAAATTGGTAAAGCCGTAAATAATCAGTTTTCACAAATAATATAAAATGTAAATTTTCAATTTCCCATTGACAGTGTTTCAACGACTTATAGTTTTTCTTAACTTAACTTACTTCTGTGATCGTTGGTTAGCTGCTGCTTGCATGCACGCAGTTACAAGATCTTAGAAGGTTGAGTGCAACGATGATTCTAATTCTACACGAGAGTACTCGTGGTGATGATGATTATTAGGCTCCTACTTTTAACATCTAAAACAAGTCGACGGACCTTTCTTTCTTGTTTCTCATTAATTTACTTTTCAGGTGAGTCTGCAATGGCCTGATTTGCTCGAGATTTTCTGACACTGCTTAGTCATCGAACTAAGTCTTACATTTTCTCGAAATTCCTACTTCTAACACGCAGCTTTATCACCTAATTCAGTCTTATATTCGCTTAAATGACACTACTCTCCAACCTTTATAGTTACTTTAAAGAAATTGATAAAAGATAAAAGGTGAAAATTGGTATATGCAAGGAGTTCTTATATTCCTGCCTTAAGGAGGATACGTCAGATTGGAGATCCGAACGATCAATCACAGCTTAACTTAATTACTCTCAATTGACGTGAGCGCAGTCATGGTGTAATAATCGTACGGTGATTGATATTGAAAACTGCTGCTGTCTCAGATTTTATAGTAGATACAAGTTGCTGTTGAAATTGTGTACGATATTTCTTGAGGATATACGCAGTAAAGAATTTTGAAATTGTTGATTGCTCACATTTTTTAGTGTAGTAGTGTGAATTATTTTTGTGAGTCGAGTGCTTTATAAGATTGATTGGAGGTTATACGTTTTACGGTTTAGTTATACGGTTGAGTTTTGCGACGGTAGCTTGTTTCAAAAGAAGTAAATTGTGCGTCACGCTGTTGCAGAAGCAGGTATACAGTTTGATGTTTTAAGATCTCTGAGCATTCTCTTTTCATAGTTTTAGAACGGAACTATGTATTTTAAAGTGAAAAATATTAAGTATATGATATGGTATGTCGAACAGCCAAAACTGTAAATTCAAAGAGACGTGTCGTAACATTGTGAATGTTAAATCTTGTCTGTGAAAACGATTTAAAAAAAATACTTATAATACAATTTTAAAGTACATGTAAGCAAAAAGCTTTGCATGAGAGTAATTCTTTGTAAAGAGTGAGGAACACTTACTGGTAACAGAGGAAGATTATAATTAAACGTAAAAGTCAAACGTATTTCGCCACACACTCAAAAAACATCACTGTATTTATAATTAACTTAGTTAACTACTTTTCTAAAAATAATAATTATATATAAATCACTAATCTAGTCTTTACGGGGTGTAAGACCTCCCTTTGTTTAATGACCAAAAGGATTGGCATCCTCAAGGCGACTTCACGCTCAAGCGGGTTGTTTCATTTATTTTAATTTATTGCTTCTAAATACGGGCTTAGGTAAGTAATACAAGGAATACTTGATGGTGCTGGGCAAAAAACGAAAAAAGAGGTTTCCCGTGTATCAGTGAGAAAGTGTTGTGGATTTAAAAGCAAAAACGAAAGAGTGCTGTTTCCATTTTAGAAAAAAGTATTGTGGTTAGTTTTAACATTATTTAAAATTTTATTTTTTGTTTTGACAAACGGACTGTTGCGATAAGATGATTAGGTTTATTATTTTTACGAATCCTTATGTTGAGAAACTTGCGTATTTGATTATAATTATTTTTCATATTAGATTTTGCTAGCTGATTGCCAAACGTTGAATATTATTCCAATAAGAAGTAAATAACATTAATTTAAACTAAAATTAAACTATCACATTATAATACGGATTTGCATACGAGTTAATGTTTAAAAGAAATTTATTATTTGGATGACGGATTCAATTCATCATAAAGATAACAATTTTCTCGTTTGTTTTTTTTTTGGTAATGTGATTGCTACCAACAATGTATTATATTTATGTTTGACTTATATTGCTTGTCTTTTAAAACGCACCAGAGCGTAATTAATAATTTGTACTGAATAAATTCGCATTTTGATAAAGCTCACACCTTTGCAATTGAGTCCCGGGTTCGAGATCTTTTGTGGTAATAACTCTGTAAAAAAAGTAATTTATACAAATATCACCACCTAACGAAATTAGGTGTCAAATTTTACTCTGATTAATTAAATTTCCTACCGATTAACTACTAGTTTTCTTGGACCATTTATTTACCAGAAAAAGAGTACACGCCCAACTTCGGCTTTCCAAAGAATAAATGAAACTTAGTTTTAGTGAAATTCATTTTCATATGAAGAAGAGAAGTAAAAAAATCAGATCACACATTATTAGTCTGATTTCTTACTTTTCAGCTTAAATTCTAAATTAATCTTGACAAATATGAGCTTGACTTGTTCTTTGAAGTGTCAAAAATATGCGTCTACTTTTCTTTTTTTGATAAAATTGTTGGTTGTTAAATGAATAATGTTATAAAGCTGTGCAATCAAAGTAACCTTATCCCTAACGTAGGGAACTTTTTAGTTACACAAACCTGCAATTAAACTATTTTTTTGATGATTTCATGTAAATTATTTTATCCGGAGTAATTTGGTGTGCTGAAACCAAGTTCACCGTAAAAATCAGCGAATCATATCAGGAGTGTAAGTTTTTTCAACCTAAAAGTTTACAAACAGCCATTTTTACGAATTGTTTAATGTTTATGACATGTCTTAAACTTTGTGTGTATCTACTTTACAGAAACACTGTCAAATATGGCTTTTCTTCTACAATATCCAGTTTCAATATTCTGGATACGATTTCCTGTCTTTGTGATATGGTAGTTTTAATGGAAGTATTTTCTGATGCAATCACCTGTACAATAAGCATTTCACTTTCAATTTTTTAAGAATGCCTGCACCCTTAGAAACTTAGCACACTAAGACAGGAACTAACTTTAGTCCATATCACGGTTGTGAGTTTTCCTAACTTTAATCTTAACCCATTTGAATACGAGTAAGAGAAACCCTTAACTCTTCTTAACTATTGTTCTACACTAAAAGAAAAGTGGGACGACGTCTGTCATCGCATGGTTGGGAAGAGTACTAAGATTGAAGTAAAATTTCTGGCTCAGGCAGCGAAATAGCTAGCGTTTTGCTGCAATACGCTACAATTCCACTGCAGGCACTTTTAGAAAATAACAAGTAAAATGACTATTTTACAGAATCACTGCATCAAACGGTACTATTACTAAAACTTACATAACTCAGAAATAAACATTTGTATCAAGAATATTAAAAATGTATTTAGTAAGAAAACAGCTATAATATATGAGGCTTCTGTGGAAAGCACGCAAAAAAATTTTTGAGACATGGCATAATCTCAAGAATATGTAAAAATACAATTTTTAATATTAAATTAACAGGACATTTTTTAATATAAAAATTAGGCCTATTAGTATATAGTAAAAGCATTCTTAGTAAATTTTAACTTAGCAATTTATTACAGCTTAGGAGGTTGGATAGCTACACGTGCAAGTGGAATGAAAAAAAATATATATGGCAACATTGAAGATCTTGTTGTACGAATTCGCATGGTAACAGGGCGAAGTTCAGAATTGGAAATGATTTTGGAACACAGCTCTCAAGTACCACGAACCTCTTGTGGTCCCAATTTTGATCACATCATTCTTGGTAGTGAAGGAACACTTGGGGTCATTACCGAAGTGGTACTTAAAGTCAGGCCATTGCCGAATACAATCAAGTACGGTAGCATTGTTTTCCCAAATTTTGAAGCTGGAGTAAGCGCACTCCGCAAGGTAAGAGATGTAAAAATTTACATTTTAAGTCTGACATGAAGAATAAATATTTATTTTTTTCACTGTGATACTTTTACAGTTTTTTTAGTATGTATAATCTAAATAGGTTTATATAAGAAAAGTGTATAAATGTGTACAATAATATACCTTGCGTGCCAACCATTTTGACGTGACTTTTGATTTTAAAAAATTCTACCTAAAGTGAAAACCGAGAAAATAATGAAATAAATTATTTTATTAAAAACTTTCTTGGTAATCAAGAGAATAATGTGCATTACCAGCAAATTCTAAAGATTTTGAGATTAGAAGACAGATCGTGTAAACTGTCTATCGGTCTTCCTAATGCTAGAAATCAATAATTAATAAAAAAGTTACAAAATTAAAAAAAAGATGTTCTATATTCATGATGTATATACGTTATTATTTAATTGAATAATGATCAGATGAGCTTCTTTTTTAAACAAGATGACAATATTTAAATCATCACGAAAATGAAAGATTTACTGGTTTAAGCTGTTAAACGTTTTCATTTATTTTTTTGTTTTTACATCGACGTTTTGACTGGTATGTCGTTAAGCTCTTTTCAAGCACAATTCTTAAATGTTGAACAATTAGATTAGTTCACAACAACCACATTTCATCATTTAATTTACTAAATGTACTGGGAACAACTCCATTTATACAAATTTATAAAATAATACAAAGTATAATAATACAAACTTAACCTTGAAGGCATTCTGAAAATTAAATTTATTTATATTAATAAGCAATAATATATTTTTTTTTAATTTCTCGTTGAAATAATAAACAATTTTTGTGAAAGCTTACCTCCTTATGAACTCGATCGAAAAATTTAAGTAAAAATAATGTTAATCAATTGTAATTTACTAAATAGAAATTGGAATAAGTAATAGAACTCTTCTTTGCCTGCTATTAAAAAGTAATTCTTAGCAGTTATCTTCATCTGTAAATATACCACCATAATTATATGTACTGTACATGTACCACACTGTACTGATATTATATGAATACTCCATCCATACATTAACCTGTTAATTTTATGTTACATTAGATTTATCAAAAAAATTGCTTGTTATACTAGTGATAAAAGTAATCTTCTTATATCTAAATTATTGACAAGCAGGAAATCATTTTTTATTATACCTTATTAATATATTCAATCCAAGCTATGGTTAAAAAACAGTTCATAACCTAGAATAAAATCTAATAGAGCCTACGATGAGTGAATTCACAGTTTTTAGGTAGCTCAAATAGTAGAGCAACTGTCTAGTAAACAAAAGATTGTTTGTGCTATCCACACCTGGGAAAAATTTTTTTAATCTTGCGAATAATTTGTAATTTCTTCATACGTATAATTTTCGACGTTTGTAAATTTAATTTCAGAAAATTGTTTATCATTATAAAAGGACATGGATGGACTGAAAGTGCTTGGAATAGTACCTCCATCTATGGATGAGCCTATTAAATTGATGATATACATATGTATACAAATCACAAGAATTTCTTAATATACCAGTGATAAAGTCGCATTAAACTTCTAACATCAATTAACATTTTATTTTATGAACTAATTTGGAACTTTTTAGTTACACAAACCTGCAATTAAACTATTTTTTTGATGATTTCATGTAAATTATTTTAGATAGTTGTAAGAATCATTTGAAATAATTTATGACAAACCAACAAGTATGTGTAAAGAAAACTCAGCAGCAGCCGCTATGGCATAATTTTCTNTGGACTGAAAGTGCTTGGAATAGTACCTCCATCTATGGATGAGCCTATTAAATTGATGATATACATATGTATACAAATCACAAGAATTTCTTAATATACCAGTGATAAAGTCGCATTAAACTTCTAACATCAATTAACATTTTATTTTATGAACTAATTTATAGTATAAGGACTTGGTATATGTATTAAAAAAAAAAATTAAATAGTTTTTTTGCCACAAGTTGATGGATGAAAAATAGTATCAAAAGCCCAGTAATAAAACGGAATTAATTATTGTATGGATATTTAAATGGTTATATAATAAAATGCATTATAACAAGTAGAGACATGAGATAGACGAGCTCTTAAGATTAGAAGGATAAAATCAAACTTAAAGGAGAAGGTGGCCTAAATCAGGTTAGTAGTCTAAAGTGAACAGGCGCTTGTGTACCAGCGTATGAAACACATAGGGCAAGGTGTGTATACGTTGAGGTTACCTGAGTACCTCCGAGTTTCGCTCAGTTCCAAACGAGCCGTTAGACAGTAAAATCAATAATTTGATAAAAAAATTAAAGGGACGTATATTGTGATCAGTCAAAAATGAATACACTTATACAGTGTCGTTAGTCATTTTCTATCAATTAGAGGCCATTAAAGTTTAAATTAAGCCAAAAATATTGATGTTTTATTTTGAACTTTTTATGGTTTGCATTACTTAAGGAGGTTCCCTTGCTCTAGTGTCACAAAATGAGATGTATGTCATTAAATAGTTTTGATTATGCCGAATCTAAAGGTACCCTTATTTATACCCTTTATCGAACAAAATCTGAAATCTAACGCTTAAAGTTTACTTTTTTAACAAGAGCGGTTATGACAGACATACTAAAAATAACGATTTGCAACCTCAATCGAAAGTGTCCGGATATTACGAGTAAACACATATTGTAGATTTTAACTTTATCTTTTAAATTCCGTCGTAAGAAATATCGGTAAATTTACTAGAAATTGAAATAATTGTAAAAAAAGGGATGAGTCAGCTTATTTTTTCTGCTATGAGAAAGTCAGTGAAGCCGCCATATTACTTGGCAGGAGCGGGTGCAATTCAAATTCAAATGCTGAAGAAAGTTAAATGATGGCCTATATTATCAACTTTATTAAGACCATTGTATTGATATATTATAAAAACCTTCGGGAGGTATTCAATGCCTACGAAAATAAAATATAATACTTAAGTTAACAAGGTCAGCTTTATTAAATTGCATCAATCGTCATATTTTAGAACAAATATCACAAACTTTTTGGTTCATCCACTTCATAATTAGACGCACTTTTTTATGTTTAATACGTGATACATTATTATAATACATTTTTTTACAATTCACAGATACTTCTAATCTTGTCCGAAATCACATTTATTACGTCCAGTGAGTATGCTACGCGAACTTTGCTATTGATACTCATATTTAGCAATATTTTAATACCACATCTTGAAAGTTCTTTTTAAACGCATCTATCAAAACTTGTTTAGTTATTCCTTCCCTTGTCAGTGTCTACTAAATTTTTTTAAATTTTAATATGTTGGAGTGCATCGTGAAGTGTTTCAGTATTCTGTTGAGTATACTTCTCGCCCTCCATTTTTGTATAAATTAATAATTTTTTTAAGTTGACCTTTTGGGGCAAACTTTGAAAATAAAAAACACACATACTGCGTATTTTTGACACACAGCAACGTTTCGTCGACTGGAGTGTCGACCTCTTCAGGCTTTATTAACAAATTCAATAGAAAATCAGTACAAACCAACGAATAATAGACATAAAGTACATATGATATAAATACCTAAACACATTCCGTGCAATGACTGTCCCGAAAAATACATAGGTGAAACAAAGAGAGCACTAAAAGAGAGAAGAAGAGAACACAAAAACAATTACAAAACTGAATCTGTGGTATCTACTTCAAACTTTCAATAGTTATACTTTTACATGGGACATCAAAATAATAGACCAGAAGCCAAACTATAGGAAACGACTGATTTCTGAAATGCTCCATATAGTGTCAGACTACAATAATATAAATAACAAAGAAGACCTATACACTTTGAATCATACTTATAAAAGTTTTTTCAAAAATATACGTTGCTGACGGTGTCTATCAGTTCCATACATTGACCTCATGATATATCTGTGTAAATATGGAGTATTGTTGGGGCCCAGTAAACATTAAAAGACGATACTCTATCGTAAACTGCGATCTTCGAGTAAAAGTAAGAGTAAAAGTCAAGTAAAATTTTATGTCGAAAAAAATCCAATTATAAGTCCACTTCACTTTACATTACTCACTCGTCCTCTACTACGTCACCAATAGGTAGCGTTGCTGACTTTTCCTCTTTTAAAGCCTTGCTGCACGATTCATTTGCCACTGCTTCGACTTCTTTTCCTACCATTCGCTCATACTAAACTATTGGATACATGAGCCATATTCATGGATGATAACCACAAATTCATTTGAGTATCGCTAAACCCTGAATTCATCATACTTGTAAGAATTTGATATTTTTATATATGTATCACTAATACAGAAACATTTACTAATTTAAATACACAGAATAATAAGTATTTTCCCCATAACTACTTTGGCATTGGCTCTAAAATATTATCCTGTCTTGTCAAATATTGAATCTATGTAAACTGTCTTTATCTAAAAACATTTGCAACACTCAACATCATAAATGTGGCCCAAACCTTTTTGAGTTTTCTGAACTGCCAAATTCAAGGGGAGAGAAATTTAGCAATGATTGCACCACATTCGTTTTAAAAAAACGTTTGTTAAAATGATTTCCCTTCCTTTAAGTAGTTTGCTGTGTATCTCTTTGTGTACAATTTGCTTTCCGCAGTCCTAAACATTATCATACATTTTAAATTTCATTGTTACAAACTTATTTAAAAACTTTTTCATAAATTAAAAAAATTTTTTACACACGCCTCAACCTAACATAATCTTTTTTGTATAAGCCGCTTTTTTCTCTTTCCCACAGCATACTTTTTTTTTAATTTGCCTTTTCTTACACCCTAGAAAATTCTTCTATTCCGCCTCTTTTTGGTATACTCACTTTCTCTTTATTTGTTATACATACGTAAGTGACAACAATTTATGCAATCATCGGTGTCACTTTGATTACGCGTTTACTTCTGTATACGTAGTCTGCTAATCACTGACTCTACTATGTGTCTACATATTTATGTTGGTATCCCTACCGACTACTTCA